GGGAGGAGGGAGGACAGGGGAATCCGTGGTTGATATGTAAAATGAATAGAAAATCTCTTAAAGTATTTTAATAATTTAAAAAAAAAAAGCTTTCAGACAGCAACTAAAATAAGACTGGGAGGTTGAAACTAGGAAAACTGACCCTTACAGCCCAGGAATGTCCAAGAAAAGAGAAAGATGCAGTGTGTCCAGTCCAGTGCGTGTGTGGTCTCTGCAAACACCAGAGTCAGCAGTGCGACAATCCGTAACAGTCTTTGTGAGGCAAGAAGGAAATCCAGTTCAACACAGCTTAGTTAGCTGGTGTCGGTTCAAACTTCAGAGTCTGACCCCAAGCAAGTTTATTTTAAGCGTATTCAAGTACAGTACAATTTTGGAAAATAATTCCCTGGTGACAATTAACTCAGTCCTGTATGTATGATAAAGCTTAAGGCAGGAGTACATCAAAACTCTTTGCAAAGGACACAGGACCCTGGTTCTATAGATTGACTATAGGTGTTATCTTAAGGGCCTAGGGGAGGATCTGGTGTGGTTTTGGTCATACAAATAAGGCAGTGGTCACCAAGCTATCAACCACCTCTGCTCCGTTTGTAAAGTACATGTGACATCCCATAAGGATGAGTTCTATCAAGTGAGAAATGATGCTCAAGATAAAGGTCTAGGGGAGTGACTGACATAAGAGTCTGGGGAAGTCAGATGTGGCCTGGCCCTATAGACAGCACAGGTCACCAGGATATTAATTAACCACATCCATTCCCAGCCTTCTGGGTTGAAAACAGATCATACACCTCTTTCTTCAAAGAAACAGCCCTGTATGCTAACAGTCCTGGTTTCCTAGTGCTTATCTGTGAGCACAAGGGCCTCATGCCCTCTACAAGTACTGAGCATCAAGTCCAAAGTGAGTACCAACAGGCTGGGGAATATTGTCTGTATCTTATTTTAGTGTCTAATTCAAGAGTTTAAACAGAAGAAAACTGATCTAGTCAAGAACTTTTTAAAATTACATTTAGGGGTTGGGGATTTAGCTAAGTGGTAGAGCGTTTGCCTATCAAGCACAAGGCCCTGGGTTCTGTCCTCAACTCTGGAAATAATTGATTAATTAATTAACTAATTAATTAATTAAAATTACATTTATTTAGGACTAATAATGATTTCTATCTGGGAAAACACAGATTTAAGCTGTCTTGAAAATGTACTCTCAAGCTTTTTATTTACAGCTTAAAACTACAATAAAAGGAGAGAGAGAAAAAATTTTCTGCTGGACACATCTTGGCAGGTCTTGGCAGGGAGGGCCAACTGAACTCACTTGAGTTAAAGGTTTACCCTCCCAAGAGACCTGACTGGAACTCCAAGCTCTCTGCCTGGTAGCCCTTGCCACTGGGGTCTGGCAGAGCTGGGAGCAGTGTCTGATGCAACACCTACCTAAGTTCCAATGAACGGCAAACGGGGCTCTGCTGGAAGCCGCTTGAGCTAGGTCTCAGCTACCCCAGAACTTAGGGTTTGTTTTTTTTTGTTTGTTTGTTTTTCTTCACACTAGAAATTAGTCAATTGTCCCGGCCAGCGGGATCTTCAGCAGAGACCCTAGAAGGAGGAATGGTGAATGAAAGGGACAAGAGACACAAAGAATTGACAGCAGGGCAGTATTCTGATCAAGCTGCAAAATTTTATTTTTCTCAGGTGGATTTTAGAGTAAGCAGACCAGGAAACATTCTTTGGGAAAAGATCAGGGGACTGTTGAGTTGCCAAGCAACCCAACCACAAAACATTGTTACTAATGGTCAGTGTAGCAGAAAGATAAGGAAATGTTAAGTTATTTTCTAATAACTCAAGACTTGTCCAGGCATGTCAAAAGTTTCTGGTTAGTGGCCCAATACTGGACCACAGAAACTTAACTCAGGCAGGCAATATGGCATGGCTCTTAAAATTGTCCTCGGCAGTCAATATAGATTGATCAATAGTCATGAGAGAAAAAATAAAAACAAGCATGACTTCTAATACAGAAACAATTACAACTAGGACATAAAATACCTAAGCTGGTAAAATTTCCTGTGGTATTGTTCATTCATTATATGGATTATTATATGAAATTCTCTTCTACTGCTAGTCTAATCAATATTTAAATTAATGTTTAATTTTCATGCTAAATAAACTAAAAGAGCAAAACTTAAATTTTTGGGCCATGTCAGTTGGGTACATCCTGATTTGCCTATCACTACTAAGGATGTGGCTCCTCTCTTTAAATTGCTTTCTGGAGACTCTCAGTTAAATTGTGTGATTTCCATCTTTATGTGCCTTATTTTTTATATTACTTTTACTGTCTCTTTAAAGACTTTATTTTTAAAACTATTTCTTTTTTTTTTTAAAGATTTATTTATTTATTATGTATACAGTGTTTGTCTGCATGTATGCCTGCAGGCCAGAAGAGGGCGCCAGATGTCATTACAGATGGTTGTGAGCCACCATGTGGTTGCTGGGAATTGAACTCAGGACCTCTGGAAGAACAAGCAGTGCTCTTAACCTCTGAGCCATCTCTCCAGCCCCTATTTCTTTATATAACTATCTATATTTGTTTTCTTCTCTTTTCCAAGCCTACATACATTTTTACACACATTGTAAACCACTTAGCATCTTATTCCATCTGAATCTGCCTTATTGTGAATCTATAATCCTTCTCTGACCAGGAGAGATTTTAAACTGCTAAACTGTGTTCTTGGAACTGAAGCAGCAGCCTTGGCTCCTGATTCCACCTATTTTAGCTTTTCAACATGGTAGAGGTAATTCACCTCCAGCTCTGGGCCATGTGTACCATCAGCTCTCGGAAGCAGTGGGTCTATGCCTCCATTAAAGCAGTGTGTAGCCCAGAAACCTCTTTTTTTTAATTAATGTGAAAGCTATATCTGTCACACAGTGTGCTGTGTGACTTGGAGATGCCATTGTATAACATGGCCTGAATCTGCCATGTTGCACTCAAGCCTGAATGCTGTGGTGTCTAGCCGCCCGCATAAGACATGAAGCAGGAACCTGTTTTTGGCTTTGTTTAGAATTACTTATTAAGTAGTCTTAGATTTTAGGTGGAAATTTGAGCCACTGGATGCCATTTGTAGCTGAAAGTTTTCCTGGTTACACCTGGCTCCCCCAGTCCTGTGGTCCCACAGCTGCTCAGACCCAAGTAAACACACACAGGTTTATATCATTTTTAAACTATTTATAAACATAGTATGCTATATTTAGCTATGCTAACTATAAATTTTTTTAATTTTTTCACTTTAAAAGATAATGCTGTTTTTGCTGCCCCAAAGCATTTTGCCCTAAAGGAGACAAAG